ACACACACACACACACACACACACACACACACACACACACACACACAGTTAAAAAACAAAAACAAAACCTCAAAAGTCATCCCCAGGCAAGGGTATCTGCTCTGCCTCTGCTTTGTAGTCAACAGAGTACAAAGACAATGTACTAAGCTAGAGGAAACAAAAGAGCACTGTTCAGACTGTGATCAGACCCATAAAAGCCAGAGCTACAAAGTATTCACACTGAAGACTCACTCAGCCAGGTGCTGAAGGCCAGGCCTATATACAAATAACAGTCACAGCTAGAGACAAAATGCTCAGTAGGATAATCCTAACAGAGCGTGTGAATGGGTGAACAATATCCTGCCGGACTCTAAGAACCACAGTCACAGACAGGAGGCTGCAGGAGCCTTACACTAGTGCCAGAAGCACTTTCTAGCTCCAATCAATATCCAAGCAGAATTTCTGTTTTCTTATTTGATACAGGGGCTAGACTATAGCCCAGGCTGGTCACACACCCCTGCCTCAGCTTCCCAGTACCTTCCATATAAGATCCCCAAGGAACTGGTAGACTGACTCTCAACCTATACGGAAGAGCGAAAGCTACAAACAGTGAAAGCACTTTGAAGATCTGAGTAAGGGCATCCTGTGTTGCCAGGTATGAGGGCACAAGGTACAGCAGGGAGGGTAGAGCCCAGCTGCTAATAAGGCCAGTATGCACGCCAGCATGGACCATGGAGCTGCAGTCTTTTACAGTTCTCTGGGTTTGTTTCTGGCCCCTGCCTGGGTGCTAGAGTGAAGTGATCCTCCTGCCTCAGCCTCTAAAGCTGACAGGACTTCAGGTTGACTATTTGCACTAACAAATTATTGCACTGTCTGAGCCTGGGGTGGTGGCTTAGCCCTGTCATACTAACACTGAGGATGAAAGGCTGAAGCAGGAGGATCCCAAGTTCCAGGACAGCCTGGGTGGCATAGTGAGACCTTGTGATAGAAATGAAAGGAGCTGGAAATGCTCAGACCATGCAAGACCCTTAGAGGATGTCACATGGGTATCTTACAGACACACAAGAAGGGGAGGAGAGGAGGATAGGCTGAAAAATAAATTTTCTTATTAAAAAAAAATAGCAAGAAGTAGATATCCAGATTCCAGACATTAACCTACCAGTGCCCTGTGAGGACCACACATTTGGAAACTGATGACAGCCTATAACAAATTAAAGAATGTCATGAATGGGCATGGGGGCTTCACCCCTCACAGAACATCTTCCTTCATAAATTGGAAGGGTACATGGAATCCAGCTGCATTTCTCTTCCACAGAGTAGGAGAGACTAAGTACATATGTGCCTCACACATGCACACTGGAGGTTGTCCTTGAGCTCTTCAAGCCAGCACTTCCAGGAAACACTAGCCCTACCTGACAACGAGAAGCCAGGGTTTGAGCCCTATCTGGCATCAAAGCTCAGGGACTGCATATCCCATTCTCTAGGACAGAACACTGGGGATAAGTTTTCTCCATACGTGGAGACATGCTATTTTCCCCAGGGAAGACTCTCCCTAGGAGAAGCTGGGGAACAAGAGGACTGGACCTAAAACAGGCTGATCCCAGAACACAGTACTCCTCAAGCAGGCTGTAAGCTGCCCATCCTGCACCTCCTCTCTCTCAAGCTGAGGCACAAGTGTGGGAGGAGGAAGATGTTTTATGGTGGAATGGAAATAGAATAAAAGAACCCTTTGATGGGATTGACCTCAAACTATGGGACCTTGAGAGCCGCAAGACTGTTGGTTTTGTTTTTTTTTTTAAGTTTGGCTTTTGAGATAACTGTAGATTCCCACGCCTGTGTGAGAAACACAGAAAGATCCAGAGTACTGCTTGCCACCCTCACATGAGGCCAGTGCAACTGCAGCACAGCAGCACCCCAGAATCAGAAGCAGACCCTGCCTCGTTAACACCTACTTTAATGCCATAACCCGGTTCCTCAGCATCTATTAAACATGGCAGAGATGGCTCACCCTTCTGCGCCTTGGCACCACCTCAGCAGGAAGTGGCTTGGGAAGTTGACAGGCTCCAGGGGGACCCCCAGCTGCCGGGCGATGGTCAGGTAAAGCAGAGACATGCTGATGGGGATCCCTGTTCTGCGGGTCAACACCTGAGGAAGGAGAGTTGCAGGTTCAAGAGGGCCAGGGGCTGGCTCAATGTGGTGCCAGCACAGATCCAGCCCACTGGCTGTTTCCTCGCAGCCACCAGAAAGAGGTCTGACTGTCCCCCCAGGCCCAAGACAAGGTCTCCTTACAAAGCCCAGAATGGCCTCAAAATCGCCACCCTGACCCCTCAGCCTCCCAAGTGATGGACTTGCTGGTGTGCGCTTCCCCACACTGGACTTCTTGCTTTTTGTTTTTGCAAGGCTAGGCATGGAAGCTGGAGCCCTGTGTACACTGGGCAAGCATTATACCACTTAAGAGATCACACACACCTGAATTTTCAAATTTTAAAAATATTCCAAAAATAGTACTAATTTCCTAGTACTGCTAGGAAATTCACAGAAGCCAGGTTCTACGGTCCATGCCTATAACCCCAGCACTTGGGAGGCTGAGAGAGGAGGACAGATTGTCTAAGACCAGCCTGGGCTGAGTGAGAGTCTATCTCAAAATAGGCAAAGAACCATAACCAGCACACTCCATACCCACACAGCTCTGCTGGCACAGAGTGCACAGTCACCCTCAAGTCTCCAACTGCCTGTGCCCTTTCACCCATTGAGACAGACAGAGTGCACAAACCACACAGCCTGTGAACCTGGACTGACTCACTGCCAGGCCCTTTAAAGGCAGCCTCCCAGCCTCCTCCTACCAGAAAGAGAGCATATGTATGATGTGACAACAGAAACTGTAAGTTATAGAGAACTGGACAGACAAGAAAATGGCCACCAAAGGTGTATGGCTGACATAGCTGGGCTGCAGGATTCCAGCCTGATAATGGAGTCAGGATTGTGCAGTTCAGTACTCATAATCATACACTGAACAAACCATACCTAAGAAATGCCCATTTCTTGTCACAGGGCTTGCTTACGAAAGTCATCCTGTAGTGTAGCTAGCCCACAATGCTATCCCCAGGTAGAGGAAAAGCAGGCTTCACTGAGACATGGACAGCCCGTCAGAGATGAACCCAAAGGATATGTGCCCTCATACACTGTCACCCTTGTTTACAGGGGAGCTGGGAGCACAGCACCCTGGGGCACCACAATCCGCAGGTGGGGTAGAACCCACACATCCAGCTTTAAGCCACATGCAATCCCCAATATTATCTGAGTCCCATGTGTGTGCACACTTGCAGGTTTACGCAACGAAGGATGCCAACATGGTAAGCACACAGAGATCCCATGGCCACGGGAGGAAACTGCATGTATCCTCACACTCCAGCCACACTTACCTGGTGCATGTACAGGTTCAAGGCATTGTAGTAGTCCATGCGGTTCCCTTTGAACTTCAGCTGGTCGTATAGGACATAGTTGATGGCGTCCAGCACTTGGCTCTGGAGTTCTATCTCCATTATCATGGAGGACTCACCTGCAACACAGAGATCTCCTCTGGGTCCAAGCATGAACAAGCACACCCCAAACACAAGTAAGGCACACTGCAGACACACAGTGGCTGGCAAGGGCCTGACAGTCAAGTGCTGCCAAACTGGATGGAGCCAGGGTGGTGTTTACATCATTCAGGTAACCTCCCCAGGGCCACTGCTGCCCAGCTCATCTAAAGCAGTTCCACACCTGCCCTGAAGGTCAGGCTGGGATGTCGGCTGTTGATACCACGGAGGGTTTTGCACACAAGCTCCACAATGCTGTGGATCTGGGCCTGGATGTCTTTGAGGCTGATGTCAGAGAGAGGGTTGCAGTACTGGTCAATGTAAACGGCACCTGTGGGAGAGAAGTGCAGAGTCAGCATTGCTTTTTACCTGACTGAGAGCACAGACTTACTGAACCTGCACCTGGGGCTGTGACTTCTCACTCCACGTACCACATATACACACTGCACCAGCTCCCACCGTGGATGCCAGTCTTGTGCCAACACAGGGAGGGTCAAACACCTTCACCACAAAGCACTTCATGTAAGAAAACTAAGCAAAGCACTTCTCTGGAGGTCATGACTCAGAGAGCAGAACATGTGCGTCCCCACATCCTAGTACACCGAGAGCCAAATGCCGCAAGAAAGCCCTCAGGCCACTTCTCCCCTCCTCATTGCTCTGTGAGTCCAAAACCCAACCACTGGAAAGACTTACTGCAAGGCAATTCAGCTTAACAACTAAGCTTAAAGCAGTAATGACAGACAGACCATTCCAACCAATCCAATCACACCTCTTATGGATGAGGAGTCACAGGCTCCAGGGACCACATCCCCTCAGTTACGAGAAGGGGCCCTGCTAGTCCCACAGAGCAGGGCCAAAGTTTCTTCACTGGTTTGATTCTCAGCCAACCTCACATTATGCCTAAGTCATCATTTGGTTGCAAAATATTTTTACCTAAAAGCCTTCCAGTTATCTTTAAATCCAAGAGACCTCTGCCTAGTCAAGGATCTTCCTGCTCCTACCAACACTCTAAGAAGCTGAAGGCAGCTGAGTGATACCCAGCCTAAACTACAGGGCTTGTGCTGCCCAAGTGTGGCTTTGCTTGTCTGGAGCTCAGCCACTGTAAGTCACCTACTCAGGTTTCTTCAGCAGCCACAGGAGTCTAGTCAGGGTCAAGGCCCTGGAGCCAAAACCCCCAACCAGCCACTGCCAGCCACTCATGGCTTCTATTGCCTACCTAGAGATCTTGGTAGACTGTGAAAACTCTAACTTTGTATTTGAAAATGTAGAACAAGTATTTATCTTTCATATAAAACCTCCAGAAAACAAGGCTGTCACTGTTTTGAACCTTTGAATAAGGAGAAGGCTGGTATGCTGGTGCACACCTTTAATTTCAGCACTCAGGAGGCAGAGGAAGAGGCAGGGGGATCTGTATGTGTACATGTGTGTGGTCTACATAGCCAGCCAGGGCTACATAGTGAGACTCAGCCCCAAACAAAGGAAAACAACAAATACCTCAAAAGATGGCCTAACTCCCAACTCTAGTAAGTATAAAGGCAGACAAGAAGATGGTTATGACTTTTTTCTCATTTGATTATAAGATTTTCCACTTCCTTTGAGACAACAGTAGATCTTTAAACAGTTAGCACATATCTCCATTAGGCACTGTGTGCTGTGGAGATCTTTACTCCAAGGCCTGAGCATTCAAATGTATTTACAAGGGCTGGGCACACCTAGCACTCAGAAGATAAGCTGACAGCTACGCTATGCTCTGTATTTTAAAAAGAAAGGAAAGGAAGGAAAGGAAGGAAAGGAAGAAGGAAGGAAGGAAGGAAGGAAGGAAGGAAGGAAGGGAGGGAGAAAGAGAGAAAAAACCCAAACAAACAAAAAGCAAAGAAAGGCAATGAATATTCTTGACAGAGAAGGGGTGTGAGGCTGCCACCGTGAAGGCCTCTGCAGCTGCTGAGGCCAGTGAGCTCTTCAGGGCTCAGCTGAAACTCAAAAAGTGAGCCCTGAGCTGAAGGGCAGAGGGGAATGCAGGGAGAGGGCTGTCACCATGAGGAACTAAAGCAAGCACCCATCTCTAGGTGCCAATCAGGCAAAGACATGGAAACAGGAGCAGAATGCTGTGAAGTTAGGGGAAGTCCAGAGCATAGAGGGCATTGGGAAGAAAGCAGCCAATCAGAAGACACATGACAGGTCCCACAGCAACAGGGACTAAGCAGGTCAGGCAGGCTGGCTGACCAGAGGGCAGCAGGCAGCGCTGCCCAGGAAAATCCAGGATTCCTCAGAGTCTGCTGATAGCCTGGAGAGCCATAATGGACAGGACTAGAACTAGAACATCAGAGGGGGAAAGCTGCCCATCTGGTGACCCCCAGGAGCTGAGAAGATATGGAAGCACACACTTCACAACCACAGCTCGGGAGGGTTTCTAAAGAATTAAAGCAGCGTTTAAAAAGCCAGGTCACATTTTCTTACCATTCTGGCAGGGCCACCTTGTTCCCTTCCCCTGCCCTCCCACCTGGAACACACCTCCCCCAGGGGCTGCTGTAGGAGACACAGAAAAATATGGGCAAGAACTGATCTCACTGGCCAAAGGTCACTCACTCTGCAGGCCCACATGTGCTTGTGTGTTGAGGTCAGAAGTTAACCTCAGCATTGTCCTTGGAAGCTATTCATCTTGTTTTTACCAAGTTCACTGGCCAGAGAACTGCAAGAGTGTCTGTTCCACACACACCCCCAACCCCTGAGGTTGTTACAAGTGTGTATCAAGCCAGGCTTTCTACTAGTTCTGGGGACTGAAATCAATTCCTCCCACCTGTGTGGCAAGTGCTTTTCCGATTGAGCGTCCAGCCCTCACTGTCACTAAGCCAGTGATGACCCTCTAGACACTAGATCACTTGAGCCGACAGCAAAGCTGTCACCAAAACCTTTGCTGTAAATTTTGAGCGTTGTTTGCCTCATAATCCAACTTCCTGAATGCCACTAGCATGCCCTCTACCTGGAGAGCCAGGCTCCTTTTTTGTTATTTTGTTTCTTTGTTTTTTGAGACAGAGTTTCTCTGTGCAGCCCTGGCTGTCCTGGATTCGCTTTGTAGACCAGGCTGGCCTCCAACTCATAGAAACCTGCCTGCCTCTGCCTCCTGAGAGCTGGGATTAAAGGCATGCACCACCATCGCCCAGTTTATCGAAGGCTCTTAAAGGCTGCTGAAGACCCCTGTCCACAGGCACAGGGTGACCCACCTTCAAGATAGGACTCGTAGTCATCCGGCTGCTGCAGGAAAGCTTTGAGGTTGTTGAGGATTTTCTGCTGCCGCAGGTAGTAAAGGATTTTCTTTGCGTAGTATTTCCAAGTCAAAGCTTTCCTGGAAAGCAAGCAAACATGTCACCAAGAACTTCAATTGTCAGGTTTTCACCCATCACATCACACGACACGTTAACAGAACAAACACAAGTGACACATGCCTGCAGCCCAAGGGCTCTGCGCCCTGACCTGACAATCTGACAACATATAGATATTCACACCCTCTGTATCTCTGGACAAAGGCTGTGAACAGTACTCTGAGAAGTGAGGTGCGCTGTGCCTGTGCCCAGGGCCTGCTTTTGACACTAGGGCTCAGGCTGGTCCTTCTGTGCTTTGTGGCCCAGGGAGGCCTTCTAGGCTTATGGTTTCAAGCGCATCCACACTGATCACCTTTCCAGAAGTTATTTTCCAGAACAGGTTTTTCCAAAGAACTTACCCCTGCACCTCAGCTGTTACTCTGCCTGGATAACTGGGGGCATCCTAAGCCTTCCCTCTTTGAAGTCACCTCTCCTGAGACACAGTGAGCTACCAGACTGTGAGGGTCAGACCTCTGGGCCACCCTGAATGCCTGGCACCCCTCCTCCCAACACCCTCACATGAGCACCTGTCACTAACCTGGCCAAGTTGGCCCAGCATCTATGGTGTGTCACTACTCTCCTCCTTCCTAGCTCCTGCTCCCACGCTCTCCCTTCTCACTTCTCGCCACAGCATTCGAGTCGCAGTGATGCACAAATCCTCTAGGGCAGGGCCTCTGCCCAATTCTCCCCTTTTTACTTCCTCACACTAGAAGCCCAACTTTTAGTGACGACCCAAAATGCCCCATCCTCCATCGCCTCTGAAATCTCAGTTCCAAAGGCTCTTGCTGCTCCTTTAACCCTGTGCCTGGCTGTGTCGCCTCAGCACCTGCTATTCCTCAGTGGAATGTGCCTTCCTCAGACACCTGTAGCTGCTTCTTGTACTCCCTCTTGGCTCTCTGCTCACACGGCCCAAGTCAGGCCTCCCCCTATCCTACCTCAAATGCTGCCTCACAACCCCTCACACTCTACTCACGTAGCATTTCCCCTAGCACATCCCACCTCCTGCCAAGATAAACAGCTTAGGTGTTTTTCTCATTACCCCAAAGCTTGTGAAGGCAGATTTGGGGCTGTTCACAGCTGTATCCCCAGTGCCTACAAAACACCTGATGCACTGAGGATGTCCAGATATCTCACTGCATGAAGCACTTCCCTCAGTCCTCCAAACACACAGGTCAGTGAGGGGGCAGGATTCCGTGTGTGGCAGCCTCTAAGAACAGTAAAATCTTCCCCCGCCCCTATCTATGGAGAAGTCCGTAACCATCTACAGAGCTGTGTGCGTCACCTGCTCTCTAACCTGTTGTAGAAACTCACCTCTAACAAACAAAAGTGTGGGGCAAATACCATACCAACACTCAGACCAAGAGGCATAACTCTGAGACACCCTGTCACAGTCACCTGTCATGCCTCTGTGACCATTTCCCACATCGCTATGGAGCAGTGTTCTTAACCCTCCTAATGCTATGTGTGACCCTTTAATACAGATCCTCATGCTGTGGTGTCCCCCAGCCATAAAATTATTTTCGTTGCTACTTTATAACTGTAATTTTGCTATGGTTCTGAACCGTAATATAATGACCTGATATGCAGGATATCAGATACGCAACCACTATGAAAGGGTTGTTCCACACCAGAGGGATCGAGACCCACAGGTTAGAACCACTGCTCTAGTGTGACCACCAACTCCCATCACTAAACTGCTCAGGGAGCTTTAGGCCCCTCCCTCTGTCTCCCTACTTTAACAGTAGCTTCCTGTAGTTTGAAATACGTTCATATGAGCTTTAACTTGCTCTGAAATTGCTATTGGAAAGTAGATGGAGAGGCTGGCAAGAAGGACACCAAGCCTGAGTTTTGATCCCCAAAATCCGCAATGGTAGAGAGAGCCAATTCCTACAAGCTGTCTTCTGACCACCACATGCACAGGGGCATGAATGTGCCCAAATATACAGTGATGAACAAGACACATACAAGAACATAAAATAAATACGCTACAAAGTGGCTGGACAGACTCCATGAGATTCAGACGCCAGGCTTATGAGATTTAAGCTGCCACCCAGGAGGTGTAGTCTTCCTTCAAAAGCCACCTGTGGGTGCAAATCAGAAGTAGATGCCTGCTTCACCAGCCTTCTATCCCCAGCACCATAAAGAAAAAAAGGCCTATGTCTATGATCCTGTCAGGAAGCAGAGGCAGGGCCTGCAAGCGAGGCCAGCCTGGACTACAGAGTGAGACTTTGCCTTAAAAAAAAAAATAATGTAGAAATAAAAGTTGGTGCCAAGGCTTGGTGTCCCTTCTGTGAGATGAGTGACAACTGCTGCTCAGTGCTAGGTCTGCTAATTCCTTAGAGGTAAGTCTCACTGAATCAGCCTTCCAAATTTATTAGACTGCCTGCAAAACCCTCATCTGTTCTTTAGTTTCTCGATGGTATGAAAGGTAGGAAAAAAAAGGATAAATGCTCAGATCATCCTTTCTACTTATATTTCAAATGATGAGATCTGATTCTCCTTCAAAGACCAAGTAACTACCTTGAAAATAAGACTGTCTATAGTAGTCCAATATGCGCTGCCTCCACCAGGCTGCCACCCCAGCTGGCACACTGTTGGCCCATGGACTCATCACGAAGGCCTCATACTGAAGTGAGGGGCTGACAACAGTCTTGGTTCCAGATGCCAAGAAGGTCTGGGCTCACTTTGCACATTTCTGACATAGGTATGAGAAACAGCCATTTCTCCATGACCCTGGCTTGCACTGGGGGAAGTAGAGCTGAGATGGCAGTCTGCAAGCTGGGACAGCCATTTCTACTTGGCTGGTCATAAGTTCACACTGATACTTCCAATTCAAATTCAAACGTATGCAGCTCTGACCACCTTCTGTGTGTATTCTTATTCCCGAAAAATTCTGCCCCTCCACAATATCAGAGATGACATGACAGTTATTCACTGGCTTTATTGCATATCTCCATCCTACACATAAGCCTGGCCCCAGTGTAACGACTAATTCACCTGTCATTTCCCTGAGGATGAAAGCAGCTAAGTAGTCTACCCATGGTCTTTCCATAGTCACTGCCCAATTTCCTTTTTTACTTAAAAAAGAAGTTTAGGTTTGTTATTGTTCGGGCAAGTGTGTATGTGTGTGTCCATCTATATGCATGTGCACGCACACCATGGAGCTTACGTGGAAGTCTGGGAACAGCTTGCAGGATGTACTATGTGGATCGCAGAGATGGAACTCAGGCTATCAAGCTTGACATCAAGCAACTGTATTTACCCATCTTGTCAGACCACTGCTTAATGTTCCTCCAGCTACACTGAATCTCGTCTGGGCCTCTGCTCTGACCACACACAGCACTTTTCCTGGACAGCTTTCTTTTGGAGCTGGGGATCAAGTTAATATACATCCAGTGCTCACCAGTAGCCTTGAGGCAGACTACCTCTGTGGTTTTGGGTTTCAAACTCCACTTCTAGCAGATGTTGTCAGAAAGAGCCCAAAGTCTGATTTCTTCCAATTTGACAAGTTTGTCTTTAGCCTTTACACTTGGAAGTCAGTTCAGCTGGATATAAAAATCTTTGGCTGGCATTTCCTTTACATCTTGGAATACCTTTCCCTCTGGCAATAAAGTGCTGCTGTTGAAGTCTGAGGAGACAGTCTTTCTTTTGCATAGAAGTGACTTCATCTCTTCTGTATGGATATCCAAAGGCCCTTTCTGATTCTAAAATCCAGTAACTTTATTACAAGTGTCTTGCTGGACAATAAAGACATTGAGTGGCCACCTGCTGGCCACTCAGGCCACTTTCTCAGGCATAGTACAAGCTTTTTAATGTATTGTGGTAAACTGTTCCTGCAGGCCCTGCTTTTTGCAGACTACAAAGAATAGTACAGGTGTGGTCACCATGAACTCAGGGAAGGGCATTTGAGTATTCAGAGAAACTGCGCGCTCCTTGCCCTGCTCTCCACAACAGGAATGGATGCAAGCAGGGACACCATGTTCACTGGCATCTGCAAACATTCTAAGAGGCACACCATTTCCTGTTGTTACACTTGTGTCCCACCAAGGGCAATGTTGTTTCAACACTCGTTTCCAAAACAACTAATACATACTTTCCTGGACTATATAATTTCAGTTTTTCTGATGACCTGATAAGTTGGTAAAAGCAGCCCTTCCCAGAGATTTTTAACATTCCTGTGAATAGTGAATTCCTAGGTGTTTCCCATGATGGTCAGTCAGCTGGGCAGAGTCACTCTCCTTAAAAGCGCCACCCGCCCCTTTCCCTGGTATGGCAGTCTCTGCAGGACACCGACAAGTGTTACAGCGTCAGCTACTCACTCTTCAGGAGTGAGTTTTAAGGAGAAGGCTGATTTACTGGTTTCCAGCTGGGTACCCATTCCACGCAGTACTCCCCACTCAACAACCTTCCTCCCCCTCTCTTACTGGGGACCTCTCCTGCATCCTTCTGTCCAGGTCTGTTTCTACAGAGCTCTGTTCAAATCACAAGTTCCCTCACACTCTGTCCCAGTAGCTCACAGTGCACGCTTCCCATGACAGTAATTTTAACACTTTTTTTTCTTGGCTCTTTTTGTAGATTTACTTTTCTGTACTTATTTTATGACAACATTATCCAGTTGGAAAAACAACCAAACAAAATAAAGACCTTCCCATCCTCGAGCCTTAGCTGCTTCTTTGTGTCTACCTGGAGCAGCGCTGGATTGTGTTTTGGGGAGAACATCTTTGTGATGTCTTTGTATATTTTTTTTTAACACACTGCAACATTCTGACCTAGGAAACCTATTCCCAAGAACCCACATGGCTAAGAACTGAACCCATTGTAGTACAGCAAGTGGCCATCCACCAGCCAGGGAGACCCGCGAGACAGAGGGCAGCTAAGGGATCTCCTCCTCTAACAGTCGACTGGGACAGACTAGGATAATTCGGAGAGAAAAGCAGAGACGGGTCTGTCTTCCACACAGCCCTAATTCTGTAAAAAATGCTCCCTTTTTCCCTTTTCTCATGTAGTTACGGGAAGACAAGACAAAGTAGGTCATTATTAAAAACTACACAGGGGGGCTGGAAAGATGGCTCAGTGAGTAAGAGCACTGGCTACTCTTCCAGAGGACCTGGGTTCAATTCCCAGTATCCACACATGGTAGCTCACAATTGTAACTCCAGTTCCAGGGACTCTAGCACTCTCATACATGCGGACAAACACCAACATACATTGAAATAAATATAAATCAACAAACAAACAAAAACCACGTAAGTAGGGCTAAGAGCTCAGAGTCAGACCACTCACTTGGCCTTGGATTTGACATTCAACACTGAAGGAGTGAAGTCAGGAAAGACCACCATAAAAGTAGGGATTGGGAAGGACGGAAAGAGCATAAGAAAAAAAGTTCACCCCCAGCAAACTAAAGCCAATAAAGTGTTCTACACACATGCTGTGCCTAAATATTGCGAGGCCACACAATACTGTCAGTGCACACTTCAGTGCACACACAAACCTGCACACACAGGGGTTGGGGTTGGGGGAAGCACCCAGGCCCTGAATAGAGGCACCCCACCTCTTCCTACAACCCCCAGAGAACAATCTCAGACATTTACCTTTAATCTTTATCTCTGACCTTTAACACAGAGGGTCTCACCCACAGGAACTTAGGCTGCAAGGCAAATCACTGTGAACTGGAAATTAAGCTTTCCAGCAGAAAGTATAAAATATACCATCCCAAACAACAGTAAGAGGTAAGGGTTTACTTGTATTTTAAGTGATGTGTCTGCATGGCTATGTGCATGTGAATTTAGTTGTTCAAGTAGATCAAAAGAGGGATCAGATCCTGTGGCACTGGGGTTATAGGTGGCTGGGAGCCACCCAATGTGGGGGCTGGGAACTGAAGCCAGGTCCTCTGTACGAGTAGTTCATACTGAGCTGTCTGTCTAAGAGGCTCTTCTTAACAGAAGTGTGTTTGTGGAGGACCCAGGCTCACCCCCACTTGCATCTTAAAATCAACTCTATATCACTAAGTGCAACAACGTAGGTTGTTACTGTTTAAGACAGTGACAACAAGAAACAAAGGTCGGCACACACTCGTGTGCGTGTGTGCAGGTGTGCGCATGGTGCGTGGATGTGAGCATACGCGGGGGCCAGAGGTCAGTCTCGGGTGTCATCCCTCAGGAGTCGCACCCCCTGGTTTTGAGACAGTCCCTCACTGGAGCCTGGTCTCCATGTGGCTAAGCGGGTGGCCCTCAAGGACAGCCCTAGGAAAGCAAGTGCATGACTCTGGGGACGAAACCTGGGTCCTCATGCTGCAGCGCAAGCTGTACGGACCGACCTTCTCCCCTGCCCTCCTGACACTTTTTGAAGTGTCACTTTTCCTTATTTTGAGATAGGGTCTTATTCTGCATCCCGGGTGTTCTGAAATCCACCATGCAGCTTTCAAACCTGCTGCTTCCGCTGCCCCAACTTCCTGAGCACTGGGATTAAAGGCATGAGCTCCCATGCAGAGCTTTCTGGATATTTTTGGCCCAAGGTTGGCTGAACCCATAGACGAGGAACCCATGGCTACAGGCACTGACCGTGTGTCAACTGTCCCGGTGTGCTGATCTCACATACACAGAGACTTTCAAAATGGTAACGATGGCAAAATGTGAAGTGTCTAGAAGCACCATGGTTCTCCCACACATACCACAGCAATTCCCCCTGCAGTCATTATGGTGATAGCCCCGGGAAAGCCATGGCTTACCTTCCTTCCATGTTTAGGATGCATACCAGCTCATCCTCAAAAAATATCTCTGGACCCTCAAGGTTTTCAATGTCACTAAAGCCGTTACAAGGAACCTATGGAGAAGACACACACACAGGAGGCCTCAATCATGACAGTTAGCATGGCTGACCTGGCAGAAACACAGCTGAGCCACAAGTGAGGTGGCCACACACACAGACAGAAACAGTAGCTCCTGCACGGTCCCCTAGGTCCTCAGGGCAGAAAGCAACCCAGAAACCATAGCACATTCAGACCCTGGTACTTAGAATTACACCCTCATACTCTCACAGTCCGAGTTTCTAAGCATGGTGGCGTTGAATCCTCATGTGCGGACAAAGAACTCACACAGTTCGATGGCTGCAAGACTCCACTCTCCCGTGGTACATGTATGCAGAGGCCGTGGCACATGTGTGTTGGGATGGAAGTACACATATGTTGAGGTAATGAAGCAATTGCTGTTGAGGTGGAGACACATGTATGTTGAGAATCTTGGGTTAAAGTCCTGGGATTTTCCCCAGTTTTCATCTTGAAAGCAGCCACAGTGTTTCGGGGTAACTTGTGTGCACGTGGGGAAAACAAGAACACCAGAGTGCTAAGGCAAATCAATCACCCACCTATGGATCCACTCCAAGGGTGCCCCTACTGTGTTCAAGCCCTCCACACATTCTAATTAAGTAGTGGCACAGGGAAAGAGGAGGGGGAAAAGTTCAACAATCCATCATTGTTAGATAAAGGCATAGGCTGTTAAAAGCACACGCAAACCCAGCTACCTCACAGGGAGAGCCTGTGAACCAGTAGCCTGTGCCCAGCAGTGTCCTACATGTTCTGCACCAGAACGCCTGTGTGTGCACATGTTGAGGCCAGTCCTGAACACCTGTGATTAGAATGGCCAGGGGCACTGTTCCAGACCAAACAAAACCTTGGTTCATTCTGCTGTTCATGAGCATTTCAATCAACAAATTGGGAATGTCTCTTTGTAATTCCCATAGGAGACTGAGGTAAAACGTGTTCAAAGTTTAAATCTGTCCTTTTGAAACTTGAAACACCTTAAAAATGCCATTCATAAATTCTGTTAACAGCAGAGTGGAAAATCAGAAGCAATCTTCAGAAAATGACCTTCATCAAACTAGAAGGGCCAAACAAACAATATCAGCTACAATGATAGATGCCCAATCTATGGAGGAACTGAAAATATAAGAGGGGACAATTTCCTAGTCCTATAAAAGTAGCATCAGGAACAGACACCAATTTCCATGTGACACTGTGGCCATGGGAAAAACAACTACGTTCAAACCAGAAAAGAACCGCACATTTCAGCCATTAAAGAAAAGCAACAAATTGAGCCAGGCCTGCAGGTGCCTACTTGTAACCCCAGCCCTCAGGAGGTCAAGGGAAGCCTGGGAACTCCTCTTACAGACCAAAGAGCTTCAGTGATTAACAAAAACTCTCAAGTGCCAGGAATAATGGATGCCGGGCAGTTTTCTTCGGGGGAGCACCAACAGGCAGCTTAAACCTCCACTCCCTAACAGATAACACAGCAGCTCACTACCGAGTAGGTCGGCATTTACTGCAGTAGCCTTCCTGGGAAAACAAATGCAAGAGCTTTAGAGTGTTCAATCATTGATGACTCTCAAATCACAGTGCTTACACAAAGCGTGTGTAACGATCTTGAAAAGAGACGAGGCTTATCTGCACCCAGTGGACACCGCCCTGTGTGTCTCTCCCGGTTCCTTAACACCCCACTCTCTCTGGCTTTGGAAAAGTAGGGCTGGCAGGGACAAGTGGCTCCGTGTTGTTGGGGGGGGAGAGGGCATAATAATAGCATGTTATTATGACTCTTATAGCATGTAAGTAAGGAACTGTGTGCTCTTTGAAAAGGAAAACAGAAAGAGCCAAGTAGCTAAGGCAGGCAGGCACGTATGTGTACGTACACACACACACACACACACACACACACACCGAGCATGACCAAGCCTGAGCCACAGAACAAATGCTTACGTGCTCTGAAAAGAACCGTTTGGAGAAGGAGGCTACAATCTTCCGGGCTTCTAAGCCAGCTTTCTGCCGAACTTTATATTCCTCTAACCAATTGACGTAGTCAGTGGGACTGTAGTGCTTCATCAGGGAGGGCCACCTAAAAGGGGAGAGAACACTCTTCTCAGCCCCACCGAGATGGCAAGATCACTGACAGCTGAGGAGTCTGCGGGAAGGGGGGGGGGGACCCTGGCAGCTTCTCTAGTAGCAATCTCCATCGGGTATTGCATGCACTCCTTTACTACTCGGATGCAGTGACCTTGGCGTGGCGACGCGAAAGCAGTGTTTCCACCGCCAGCACCCCCCACCCCCAATCTCTGTGGTGGCCACCATCACAGCGATGATGCCTAACGGTTTGCACTGATGGCGCACCTCCTCAGCACCAGGCCCTGCAACCCGGGCCACATCTCATTTGATCCCCACTCTGCAAAAAAAAAAAAAAAAAAAAAAGGGGGGGGGGGAAGGTCTTATCGCAGATTGGAAGACCCGGGCTGTCCAGAGGGGAGGTGGACATCAGCCCCTCCATCCCCAAGGTCACGAGCTGGAACAGCAGGTCCGATCCCGGCATCCTAGCGAGCCGGGACTGCGCGCAAGGCTGCACGTAAACATTTTGCACTGAGCGGGCCACAAAAGACGCGCGTCCCGCAGCCGGGAGGCGCGTGAAGCCGCCGCCGCGAGGTTGCGGGGAGGCCGGGCCGCAGGACAGCTGACGCGACCCCATCGGGGCTCCGGGAGGCCCCGGCTCAGGCCTTTGTCTACGGCCGCGGGAAGCGGGCCCGGAGGAGGCGGCGCGCAGGCGGGAGGGTGGCCGGGTGGGGCTCACGCCAGGCCCGGGCCGAGGCGCTGCGGGACCGGAGCGGACGGCTCACCTCACCCGGAACTGCTCCTTCCACACCTGGCCGCTGCTCTGGCACACCTCGCGCAGGCGACGGCAGGTGCTGGACACGCGGCCGATGTCCAGCGCGGTGAGGGAGCCGCTGCAAAGGATGTACTCCAGCACCTCGCCGGGCAGCTGCACCAGGCAGCTGGGGCCCGTCGCTTCGGTCGCGGCCTCTTCGGCCAGCGCCGGCACCACCTCCATAGCGCTGTCCCCCGCTACCGCCGCCATTTTGTCCGCGTACCTGAGGGGCCACTGCGCGGGCGCGCGCACACAGGATAGGGAGCCTCGGAGGCCAGCCACGCCCGCCCAGGGGCGCGGCCAAGGAGCGGCCCGCCCAGACCAGGTCCCGCCCACTCGGCCGGGAGTACCGGGAATTGCTTCTCTGATCCCGACCATTCCAGCGGCGTTTTAAAAATTAAAGCTGGGTGCTCGCTTCGGCAGCACGTACGCTAAAATCGGAACGATGCAGAGAAGATTAGAATGGCCGCTGCCCAAGGATGACACGCAAATTCGCGAAGCGTTTGCTGGGAGGTGGTGGCAGGTGCCTTTAATCCCAGAAGAGGCAGAGGGATCTCGGAGTTCGAGCTCACCGCTGGTGTACAGAGTTCCAGGACACCCAGGGCTACACAGAGAAACCCTGTCTCCAATTAACAAAATTAAAGCTAGGAGTGGGGAGCTGGTGAGATGGCTTAGCAGGGAAGCTTGGTACCCAGAGTTCCAATCAAGCAAGTTGTGCTCAGGCCTCCACCTTCCTGTGTCACCCGAATACACAAAACACATACACATATACAATAACTGAATCAAAATTAAAGCCGGCCATGAGGCTTACTTTGTAATCCCAGCTCTCAGGAGGCAGAGGCAAGATCCTAGCTCAAAAACAATTTGAGACAGAGTACGATTTAGTCCTGGCTGGTTTTGAACTCTGTATTGGGGCATGACCTTGAATTTCTGCTCCTCCTGCCTCTACCTCCCAAGGGCTTGTATTTCCAGACATGCGTCACCAAGATATAGTTCCCAAGGTGGAACTCAAAGCTTTGTGCATTCTACCAAACTAGCTCCCTAGTCCTAAAATGAAGATGTCAAACATGGCTATTTATTCTCTTATGCCAAACACTCCCTGCAAGTGATTTGGCCTTCCCCAAGACTAACCCCTTCTCCAGTGGGTTCTGGGACAAGCATACTATTTGCTTTTCAGGGACTCCTATTTCTAGCCCTATGATGGTGTGGGGAATATAGTAACCCCTGGATCTATGACCTGCTTTTAGACATATCAAAGGGTGGTAGGGAGCTCTCCTGTATGTGACTGGGACCTTTCTTCTCTGCCTCCCAACTGTGGAGTAAGACATTAGAGGTGTTTATAATGTCCATTTTCAATTGTCTTCTGCTCAGCAATCCTTCGTATTTGGGGACATATATGCTCTCATTGGCAATATAATAATTACTGTATGCATTCCCACTTTGCAGGTAAGAAAACCAAGGCTAATAAACATGAGTCACAGGGAACAAAAACCTGGATTTGAACTTCTAAAGCAAGTGTTGTCACCAGGTGTGAGAGGGTATTTTCAGTGCTTGCCTCTGCTTTATTTGTTTTTCTTTTTTTTCTTGTTTGTTTTTTTGAGACAAGGTTTCTCTGTATAGCCTTGGACTTGCTTTGTATTCATTTTCTTAATGCATGCATGTATGTGTCTGCATGCCTGTGAGGGCCAAAGGAGAACCTTGGGTTGCATCTTATGTAATGCCTTTATTTACATTTTAATTTATTTTGTGTGCTCAGGTGTAGGTGGTGCGTAAATATGGAGATCAGAGGCCAACTTACAGGAGTCTTTTTTCTCCTTCCATCCCATGGGTCCCAGGGAAAGAACTCAAGTCATCAGGCTTGACTTCATGAACCCTTATCTGCTGGGCGATCTCCATCCTCCAAGAAAAACAAGCAGACAAAACCAAGTTCAGTTTACTGTCAGATCCTGTGCTGTGGGAATATAGATATCATAGTCAGAATCCTTGAATCTCAGGAACGTGAATTCTGAATAGGGTTAGAAGGACCAGCTGGTACAGGTACATGTCTTTAATCCCAATACTCACGAGGCAGAGACAGGCCGATCTCTGTGATTCCAAGGTCAGCTTGGTCTACTGAGTGAGTTCCAGGACATCAAGGGATACTCGGAGAAACCCTGTCTTGAAAAACCAAAACCAAACCAAACCACCAGCTGGTATACAAAAGTCACAATAAAGAATTCCCCTCAACCCAGATATTTTTGGTCAGAACCTGCTGAAATGTCTTAGCGGATCCTGCTAAGCCATCGATGGCTTTCTATTGGCCTTAGGAATAAATCTGAAAACCCCAACATTGTTACAAAGGGACAATGTCACCTGTCTGTGGCTGACACCATTCTCTCCTCCTCCAGCCCAAGCAGATCCCCGATAGCTGTTGCCTCCCAACTGGTTGGCATCTTCCTAGGTGCATCCCACGCAACCCTCCCCTTCTCTGCTCGCAGACCCTCTTCCTCCAGGGCTCTGCCTGGCTTCTGATTGCTGCCTTCCTCTCTTTCCAGTCCCATGATCTCTTGCTTTATTTATAACCGTTTGCTCGGCATGTGTCTTTCCTTTCTGGTCTGAAATCCCCTCAGGGCCAGAAGAGTCTCTTCCGGGTTCCTTCTTCCTTGGCAAAGACCTTGAATGTGGCAGATTCTTCATAATTACTATCTGTGGACTGTGTGAGAGTTAGCTTTTGCTGCCAAACTAATGACAACCTAGAATTACCTGTGAGGAGAGTCTCTGTAAAGGATTGTCTATATTAGGTTGGCCTGTGGCACTTCTTGGAGGGAGGAGGGTTTGAGTTAAGTTAACTGGTGTGAGATGACCCAGTCCACTATGGGCGGCACCATCTGTAGGCAAGGGAGGCCTGAATATGCAAGAGCGGAAACATCTACCTGAGTACAAGCATGTACGCATTCATTGCTCTCTGCTCTTGACAGCGGGTGTGATGTAAACAACTGTCTCAGATTCTTACTTCTGTGTGGTAGACTGTAACCTGGAACTGTGAGCTAAGTAAACCCGTTCTCCCCTACGTATTTCTCCCCTACAGTTATTTTACCAAAGCTACAGAAATGGAACTAGTATACAGGTCTAACCAGTTGTTAGGCTAGAAAAACTAACCTAGCCTTTGTGAGGCTCAGTTTTTTCCAAATTGGGAGAATACCTACCTTCCTCCTGGGGCAGCTAAGGGTGTTAAGTGAGTAGTTTCACATGGGTGCAGTACTGTTCAGCCTAGAATAGTTGTGGCTGAAGGTGCCTGCATCTGAGGTAGAACTGAGAACCTCACTGCAGGGGCCACACTGGTGGAAGGGAAGCCAGCTGCATAATCACAGCGTGCTTAGAGCTGGGAGTACTCGTCCTCAATCTGGCCTCTCAAAGCCCCATCTCCAGTGACCACATCTCTTGTCCTCGGGTGCTGCCCGGTCACCCCTGAACCGCTCCCCCAGCTTCGGCTCTGATCCCAAGCTATAGTTCATGTTCTTCATCACCATCATCACCATCGTCATCAGCGTCATTGTCATTTTTGGTACCCAGACCCAGAGAAACTGTTTCCAGCCATCCTTCCTGCAGCTGGGGAGTTGATCAGTGATCTTGTCAGGAGTGAAGGTTCCCTCCTGTGCAGCCTGTCACCTGATCATAGATGACCAAAGATAACCAAAGACGATCCTTGCGGCAACAGGGGGAAATGTATCTGACAGCCAAGATGCTCTTTATAAACGAAGAAATTGAGCAAACATCAGACAGAGTAAGCCACCCAGCACAGAGAACATGATGAGGAGATGACAAAGAGAGGCAAACGTATAGACAGCCAGCTCATTCATCCCCTCCACAGAGCCCGGGTTCCCCTGCCCAGTCCCCAAGGCCCACCGTAACACGTCCTTGGGTGAGACACAGTCTTTCCTCCTCCATCCTAAATTGGCCCAGCCATCTGGGAACCCACCAAGCTGGCCAATTGCCCTGCACCTCAATGAAAAATGAAACTTTACAAATCTTTATCGCACAGGTGGTTACAGTTAGGAACAAAGAGCCCAGCTCAACTCCCCCTGGTGATGGGGAGGCAGGGACACGGGTCTTCCTTGATATTTACATTTTCAGAGAGATGTTTCCCAGGCCTTAAAAAAAGAACAAAACATTCCTGGTTAATGATGCTGGCCAGAAACTCGTTCAGGCCTTGAAGAAAAAGCTGACAGAGTGCTTCAAAACCACAAGTAAAACATGAATTCTTCTGCTGCTACTAGTGCCAGGGTGAACCCTGAGGGTGGCATGGTCCATGAAAATCAGACACAAGAAAGCAAATTCCACATGAACCCCTTACAGGAAATTTTAGCAAAGACAATGTAGGTTCAAGGTTATTAAGGTCAAGAGAAAGGAGGAAAATGGGGGTTACTTTTTTTTGGAAAAATTAAAATTACGTGTGTGTGTGTGTGTGTGTGTGTGTGTGTGTTGCCTGTCTGCATGTATGACTGTGTACCACATGTGTGCCTGGTACTCCTGGAACTGGCATTACAGTAGTTGTGAGCCTCATGGTGGGTGAGGGAAATTGAACCTAGGAGCTCTGGAAGAGCAGCCAGTGCTTTTAACTGCTGAGCCACCTCTCCTGACCTTTCTCTTTGGGTTACTTCTTAATGAATGCTGACTTTCTGACTGGGGCAACGAAAAATCTGGGCCATGGATGGATGTTTTTAATGCTACTGGACTGTAGTGACAGTGCTTAAGAGGCACACTGTCTAATTTGCTTACTTTCCCAATGTTAAAATAAAAACAAAGCCCACCTATAGACTTTACCTACCAAAGGAGCAGAGAATATATGTACAGACACATTTCTCAAGGAAATGATTTAAGAAGTGAAGCTATAATAGGGCACTAGTTCAGTGTATAAGAGGGTCTGGGTTTCATCCCAACACTGGAAAAAAATGAGAAATGATGTATCTGTCTATGTCTGTCTGTCTATCTCTCTCTCTCTCTCTCTCTCTCTCTCTCACACACACACACACACACACACACACACACACACACACACACTTGTATGTGCCAGGTGTGGTGGCACACACCTTTAATCCCAGCACTAGGGAGGCAGAGACAGGAAGATCTATGTGAGTTTGAGGCCAGCTTGGTGTACGTATAGCAGAGTCAGGACTACATAGAAAGACCCTGCCTCAATCAACCAATCAATCAACCAATCAACCAACCAATCAATCAATCAGCATCAGTCAATCAACCAACCAATCACTAAATGCCACATACTTGTGCTCTAGCTAAACTGCCCAGATCCATGACTGTTTCTTGAGCTTCAACCACCCCGGTGGGAGAGGGATGTTCTAAATAAGGACATTTGTGGTCTTCCACCCACTATTAGACCTTTAAAACAAGGGGCCACAATTGAGTGACCCCCCTCTTCCAGGAAAAGGCAAAAACTGAAGTCCTGAATCCAGCCGTAGAAGGAACCGAACCCCTTCCAGAAAGGGCTTGCACATGGTTCTGACAGTTTAGTAGAGCCTTGTGGGGACCGGCTGGATCTCATATTAACCCCGACTGCTCAGATGTAAGTACCTCTTGCCTATACGTGGACAGTTCCGTGGACAGGAGCCCATGGTTCCAGCTGCAGGGGAGATCCGTCACCCTCTGCACTCATGCACACATACCCCAACACGGACAGGCACTTAGAGACTAAATTTTAAAAGAAGGTAATCAATCATGTCAGTTTGCCAACATTGCCTTGGGGGTCATTGGCCTATTTCCTTCCCTCTTCCCAATGCGGCCACACCGAATAAGCCTCTTCTCTTATGCTTTCTGAGAGCCTCTCTTTTCAACTAGTGTGTTATGTGCATGAACCTAGCTTGCTGGGATTGCTGAGACCCCAGCCACGCTTTGACCTGAAAAGCTGTGATAAAGATCCCATCTCCCACTTCTTGGTTAAAGGTACCTGTACAAGCCACAAATCTCAGGCCCCATCCTTCCTGCCCCATCCCACTGGCTCCTCAGAGGCCCCTTGTTGCTAATAAAGGGAGCACATGTCACTAGACTGCCTGTGGGAGTGTTTCTGGTCATCTTCAGCTGTGGGTGTGTACATGGGAGTGTTTCCGGTTATCTTCTTCTGTGGGCGTCAGGCCCATCTCACACATAGACTCCACAGTTCAGGTGGAGGGAGACTTAGGACTCACCCCAATGCCACCTCAACACCTTCAACAGTGCCACCTGTTCTCAGGATAAGCGCAGTCAGCCCTTGGTGGGCTCTGCGCTGTGGATTCACCCAACCAGCAAAAGGACCGGGGCTCAAAAACATTCTAACAAGCCAGATGCAGTGGCTCATCCCTGTAATCCCCAAAACTCATGCGGGCTGAGGCAGCAGGGCTGAGAGTTTGAGGTCAGCCTTGCTACATAGCTAGAACTTGTTTAAAAACTATCAACAGATGGGCTTGGGTGGAGTGGTTGCTAGCGTGTATGACCAGCGGTTCTCAGCCCGTGGGTGGCGACCATATTTCCAATGGTTTTAGGGACCCCAACCATGAGTTTATTTTCGTTGCTACTTCATAGTTGTAATGTTGCTATGAAGCGAGGGGTGGGTGCCTCAATTTCTACAACCACTGAAAATAGGTGTTTCCCGATATTGCGCCCTAACAGGTTGTGAGTCACTGCCTTAGGTTGTAACCCCAACATTAAATAAACTGCTGTAAGGATGCCTGCCTGTAATCTTAGCACTTGGGAGGTGGAGGCAGGAGAATCAGGAGTTCAAGTTCACCTTGACTACACAGTGAGTTTGAGGCTAGACTAAGCTACTCGAGACCCTGTCTGAAAAACAAAACAGGGCTGGTTTTGTTTCTTTGTTTTTTCAAGACAGGGTTTCTCTGTGTAGATCTGGCTGTCCTGGAACAAATTGTGTAGGGTAAGCTGTCCTCGAACTCAGAAATCTGCCTGTCTCTGCCTCCCCAGCGCTGGGATTTTAAAACTGCATCTGTATTGCATATGTGTAGACAGACTTGTTGTCCCCTGAGCATACAGAAAAACAACTGCTTATCCAGCGTTTGGTCTGTCCTGTGTATTACAGATCACCTACAGGTCACTTAGATACAAGGAGGCTGCATGTAGGTTATAGACAAATGCAATGCCACTTGATAGAAGGGGTCTGAGCCTGACCAGACCAGGCCTGTTTGGCCACCAGCATCAGACAGCCACTGAAGTAAAGCGTTTTGCAAGGAACAGTGTATTTGTAAAGTGGAGGAGCATCCAGATGTGGGCCCCACGCCTTCCAAGAACCAGATGTTGCTTTTTTTTTTTTTTATGAGATAAAGAAGTAGGGAGGAGATGGCCCCGTGGTTAAAAGAGCCTACAGCTCTGTCAGAGGATCTGAGTTCAATTCCCAGCACTCATGTTAGACTGCTCTCAGCTGCCCATCACCCCAGCTCCAGGGGATCCAATGCCCACCCTCTCCTGGTCTTCAGGGCACCAGTACACATGTGGTATACCCACACAGACACAGATACACAGAAGTTAATTTTTTTTTAAGGAAAAGAAGTTGAAGTGACTGGGCACAGGCTCTTATGGGTCTGGTCAGTGGTAATTATTGCTCATGCTTCTCCATGTGTGTCATAGAAATGTCATAGGAATGTGTGATCCGAGGGTGGTTATTTTGGCCTCTTGATATCAGAAGGCCACTTTGTCACTGACTTGAATGGGTCCAGGTGAAGAATTGATGACTTATGTTAGGCAGTTTAAAATGTCTTCTATTTCTAGCTCTGGGGGATCTGGCGCCCTCCTCTGGCCTCCTCAATCACCTGCACTCACATGCTCATACTCACCCACCCCAACACTTCCACACCCTGCCGCACTTAAATCTTAAAAATTTTGGACAGTACTATACTTGTGTAGGAGGCACTGTGATCATATTCACCGCCAACTACGCTCTGTCATACCCTCTCACTTTTTCTGACCCCTTCTTACCAAGCAGTCCCTACCCTGCCCTACACCACCCTACTGCCATGCCCTCTTCTTCTTTCCTTTTCTCCTCTAGGTCCCATGCAGGCAGTCACAGCTGCTGTGTGTCCATGATTGCAATGGCCCTGTCACATCCTTAAGACAGTATCCCATGGTGCTCCTCCCCATGCTCAGTTCCCAGCTGGATCCGAGGCCTGTTCCGTGGGTGGGAATACATTTTTGACACCACAGAACTAGTCTAAAACTGCCTGTCTATATCTGGGGAGGCCCTAGGTGGGGGAAATCTACCAATGTTTTGTCAAAAGGACATGTGGTTAAACTGCCTTCTAAATATTTATGTTTATATCATAAACTAAGCCTTTTTTTTTTTTTTTTTTTGGCAGCGTGTGACAGTCAGTCAAAGCGGGGACTTGTAACATGGTCAAAATGCTGACCAAAATGCTGACAGTAATTTCTGAGTGCTTGGTCCCAAACAAGGGTTGGCGGTTTTGAAAGCAGTAGTCTTCCTTTCTCTGAAAATTCACCTAAACGACTATTATCTGAGGTGTTACTGTGAGAAGACCCAGTTGTGGAGACTAACGATACAGAGCTCAGCGGTGTGACCTCTAAACCCAGAGACTTTTAAAGCTAACTAAAAG